CCCATGCACCACTTTTCAGAATAATTACAAATAGAACATTTTAGGACCTGAAAAAAGCTAGTTGTGGAGCTGACTGGGGTTCTTGAAGAGGTTTTTAAGCTCATTCTATTATTTATGTATATATTATTTATGTATATATTATTATTGTTTTTTATATTAATTTACACAAATTACCTTGGACCTGTTGGCTGCTGATAGTAGTATTAAGACCACTGTTCTACAGTAAACGTGATTTATAAAGACCACTGATCTACAATAAAATAAAAGAGTAATTAAGACAAATAACATTGTGTAGTGATTTATTTTAAAAATTTCTTAACATAATCAAAGGCCTTTAAAAATCAATGAAGTAGACATGGTTTATATATTCAAATGCAGAGCTCAATGCTAGGGTTCAAAATTTTACTTGCTCTGCCAAAAATAAATAAACAAAACAAAAAATAGCTATTGTTTTCTTTGTAAATAAGCTGCAATCTCATTTCACAATTCCAATTTCAATAGCCTACCACAATAGACACTATAGACTAACTATTAAATTCAAACATTACTGAAGACAAGTGAACAGTCACTAATAAAATAAGAAAAAAATGATCATAAATAGCACCGGTTTCAGGTACAGATATTGCATAATCAAATGTAAAATACTTTACTTAACATGTCATATCATATATATATATATATATATCAATCCTTTTTAAAGCTGTTAGTCAAGAGCAGTGAGTTATTTATCTTTGTCTTTTGTTCACATTAATGACACAGAGTCACAGACAGTAGGTATAAGGCTTCTGCCTGGCACTTTCAGGGATTTTTTTCTCAATTGATTACAAATTGAAATATATATATATATGTATGTATATATATATATATATATATATATATATATATATATATATATATATATATAATGCAGTTTTCATTGTAATAACAATTATTTAATGACACAAGTGAAAATATAATAAATATGTAATATACTGCACATATTTAGCAAAATACTCCTTTCTATGGCTATTTTTCAAGTCAACTACGTGCTATGGTCATTAAATGGCGTTCCTGAGGTAAATGTAACGTTCTGTGACATAATTGTTCTCCTGCTGTTTTATTGATCTCTTTCCGTGGTTGAAAAGCACTGATTGATCGATATTATTTATGAGGCATATATACCGTTCGGTAAGTACTGTATCTTTAAATAAAAAGTAACAGATGATTTGTTTACTTGAACTGAGGCGCTAAAGCGATCTGTCACGTCATATTTTCTAGCGCCAAAACGGTATTGTCTGAATTTCGTAATAAAATGGACAGAACCTGAGAGCTGAGAATTTTAAATGTCATTTATATAGATCAGTGAGTGGAGGCCTATTACAGCTGGAATATCGTAACATTTTTTAAACAAAACAATGCAGAAGGCTACGTGTATCATTAAATGTCTCACCTCAGCAGTCAGGCCCGCCCTGCTGACATCTTCACTTAAGTCTTTTGCTGGCCTTCCAGCAAATAATTCATTTATTTTAACACATTTGGTGGCATCTGCCTCAAGTGCTTGTCGTTTTTTCTCTCTCAACTTCTCGGCCCCTCCTTTACGTTTAGAGATGTTATGCTTTAACATATTGAATTTCGTTGCACATCATCACATCGCTGCAGTTGTAAAGCGGCCGCTTCAAGTCTAGAACTTGAACTTGATTCTGATTGGCCAATGTTCAGTGAACACGTCACGTGTGCTCATCACACAGACCTGTCAGTCTCGCAGCTCGCATCAGCTTCTTGCGGCGTCACGAGAGAGACACATAAGCCCGGATTTGGACTATACAACAATATACTTACGAATATATTTACGATTAATAATGATTTAAAAACAAAATACATAACGCACCGGCCCAACCAGACCGCGGCCCACCGGGAATCTCCCGGTAGTCCCGATGGCCAGTACATGCCTGCTATCGAGTGAGTGTGATGAGAGCTGTTTTCAAATGGATGTGATGTGAAATGAACAATTGCAGGACTTTTACTGTGGAGAAAAATATGTTTTTTTTTTCTTTTTAAATAATGAATTTATATGTAAATATATAAACTAATGCCACGGCTAACTACATTAATAACTCAGCTTTTGATTTAAAGGGGTTAATCTGCTGAAAATCCTGGTTTGCTGGTTTTAGATGGTCTGGTTTGCTGGCTGGTTTAGAGGGGCATTGCATTGGGCACATATTTTTCCATACGCGAAGACTAACAAACTTAGGCCGGCTTAAAGGAGAACTCCGGTCAATTTTAACATTGAGCTCATTTTTGTACATTTGGAGTGCTGTCAGTACAGACAAAAACCGGTGTTGCCTACACCGTGTTATCCTCTTTTTAAAATTCGCACCCTGTTGACTTCAATGGGGCAAGTTCTAAACCTGCTTTTAGCCTCTTAACAACCTTAATGTGTCATTACAAGTGCACAGCCATGTGAGGGGTGTTATTAAAAGAGTGACCACGGTCAATCTGACTGCAGTAGATGTAAAAGATATTAATAAAAATGATGTTAATTCAGCCAGCTCACATACCTGTATTTACTTCCTGTTTTCGTTCGAAGTCCACAGTAGTCGATTGTCGAGTTCGCGCGCGCGATCATTAGTTATATTACGGTACTGATCCACTTTTGCGACACGACTGAAGCGTGGTGTCGCACGCCTCTCCACATTTGTAAGTTGATGGGCGTTCCTCAAGTTTACCGCTATGGGCGTGGTTTTGACCCAGCGGCCAGTCTAGAACAAAGGCCCCTCGAGAGACTACTTCTATTGGATAGACGCGTCGCGTTTGGCGGATTCATTTGCATAAAGCTGGGCATCGGCCAGCTTTTTGACTCGCAGCATTTTTCCAAATGAAGCGCCGCCTTCCCGGGATGCTTTGCGGGCGCGTTAAAGTCGCGTGACGTCACCCATAGGAATAAAGTGGAGTGCGACGCGACTGAAGTGCCGCACGGACAAGTGGATCAGTACCGTAAGTAACCAATGATCGCGCGCGCGAACTCGAACCCCATTGAAGTCAACAGGGTGCGAATTTTAAAAAGAGGATAACACGGTGTAGGCAACACCGTTTTTTTGTCGTTTTTGTCTGTACTGACAGCACTCCAAATGTACAAAAAAAAATGAGCTCAATGTTAAAATTGACCGGAGTTCTCCTTTAAGTTTTTGGGTAACACTTTAGAATACAGTTCCTTCGTTAATGAATAACTACACAAGAACCAATGAGTAACACAATATTAACAATCTAGTAACTATTATTAACTAACAAGAAACTCTGATTAACGAACTAGTAAGTAATAGCGCACAGATGGAAGTGGTACTTCACTATTAACTAATCAATACTACTATTTTTAATGCTTCGCAGAGAACTACTGAAAAAGTTTCATAATTCATGCAAAACTAATCAATAACCAATGCGGTTCTACATTTTATTGGCTTTTCATTAGTAACTACTGTAAGAATCATGGTAACAAACTAGTAATGACTCAAATGTTACTACATACTTCTATTGGAATTACTAATTATTTGGATCCTTATTCTAAAGTGAAGATCATGGGAACTAACTAGTAATGACTCAAGTGTTACATGATCTAGTCATGATTTGTGCAACCAAACACAAAAGTAATTTCAGTAATTTTGAGATTTTTGGTGAACTTTTAAACTTTTAGAAAATTTCTTTAGAAGTATGTATAGTAACACTTTTGTCATTACTTTAGTCATTACTAACTAGTTCCCATGATCTTCACTTTAGAATACGGATCCAAATAATTAGTAATTCCCATAGAAGTATGTAGTAACACTTGAGTCATTACTAGTTTGTTACCATGATTCTTACAGTAGTTACTAATGAAAAGCCAATAAAGTGTAGAACTGCATTGGTTATTGATTAGTTTTGCATGAATTATGAAACTTTTCAGTAGTCCTCTGGGAAGCATTAAAAAATAGTAGTTATTGAATAGTTATTAGTGAAGTACCACTTCCATCTGTGCACTATCACTTACTAGTTCGTTAATCAGAGTTTCTTGTTAGTTAATAGTAGTTACTAGATTGTTAATAAACTTTTTCAGTAGTTCTGTGGGATTGGGAAGCATTAAAAAATAGTAGTTATTAGTGAAGTACCACTTTCATCTGTGCGCTTTTAGGCTACTTACTAGTTCGTTAATCAGTTTCTTGTTAGTTAATAATAGTTACTAGATTGTTATTATTGTGTTACTCATTGGTTCTTGTGTAGTTATTCATTAACGAAGGAACCGTATTCTAAAGTGTTACCAGTTTTTGTTTTCAGCAGGGTAAACAAAAGATATAGAACTTGTCGGCTTTACTTTGTTGGAAGATCATAACCTTAAGCCAGGCCTATTTGTGTAAAAACTGGATAGTTAAATTAACTTGACATTAAACAACACAAGGTTGAGGTCAAATACTTAATTATTATGCTCAATTGCTCCTCTGAAAAAAAAAAATTAAATAGCTGGTTGAAGATGATCTTAGCTGATTCGAACTGGCCTCCCAGCCCCAAACCCCTCTAGAACCAGTCACCAGATAATGATATTTAGGATACCTTTTCAGAATGGTAGATACAGATTACATCAGGAAATCTGCTGCAAGTTGATTGAATATTCAAACACACGAGTCATGAGAACAGCCAGGTCAGGTTTGCTTGTGACACCGCAAACTAACAGTACCAACTGTACCTTTGACAGTTTTTGTGTATCTTAAATTTAAATTTTCTTTATTGCTCACTCACAGATTTGACACTTTATTTGCACAATTCAAATCAATTTTCTATAGTATTTTGAATTCAACACTTTTTTTCCCTCTAATGTTTTATCTGCCAGGGTTTTGAGTACAGCAGGTGTAGAAATCCCACAAGAAACTGTCTTGAGAAAGCAGTTGCTGCTTTGGATTGTGCACAATACTGTGAGTGCATCACCAACACAAAATCATTTCATATTATCTACAAATGATATTGCCATAAACCTAAAGCTCTGACTTTCCTAACAGGTCTCGCTCTTGCCTCTGGATCTGCTGCGACTTTTACCATTACACATCTTTTTAAGCCCGGAGATGGAATTATATGCATGAATGATGTTTATGGAGGTGAGTTACTGCTCCTAATAATGCATAGAACAATTTATTATTAAATAAATTGTTTAATAAATTAATAAATTATTATAATTGATAGAAAAGAGAGTAAAATACTGATATATAGCTGAGAGAGACACTGAGACCATCACGTTTCCCCCCCCCCAGGAACTAACCAATATTTCCGAAAAATAGCTGCGGAATATGGCATTGACGTCACTTTTGTTGACCTCACGAAGCTAGACGAGCTAAAAGCAGCGTTGAAACCGAATACAAAGGTATACCTGGCAGAGACAACAGGGTTTTTGAAAAGAATGTAATCAGTTTTTGAGATATTCCTTTTGTTTTTTGGCAGTAAATAGCTCTGCCAAAATTACTGTGAGTAAGGGTGGATGGAGAAATATTTGCTCACAGGATTAAACCTGACAGCATACAGTATATGTTAAAGGGTTAGTTCACCCAAAAATGAAAATTCTGTAATTAATTACTCCCCCTCATATCGTTCCACACCCAGAAGACCTTTGTTCATCTTCAGAACACAAATAAAGATATTTTTGATGAAATCCGTGAGCTTTCCGTCCCTCCATTGGGAGCAACGCAATTTACACATTCAAGGTCCAGAACGATAGGAAAGACATCATTAAAGTAATCAAGTAATGTGACTCCAGTGGTTTAACCTCAATTTTATGAAGTGACGCAAGAGCTTTGTTTGCACAAAAAAAACACAATTTACCACTTATTTACTTAAATATTGACCTGCTATCCAGTAGGGGGAGCACCATGACGCATGCGTGTTGTTAACTCATCAGTAGTTGTTTGTTGAATGTGCTTTGGATAATATTATTTTGTAAATGTAGAGGTAAATTATGTTTTTTTGGTGGAAACAAAGCACTTCGCGTCACTTCATAAAATTAAAATGAAACCACTGGAGTCACATGGATTACTTGAATGATGTCTCTGTGATTGTGTAAATTGCATTGCTCCCAATGGAGGGACTGAAAGCTCTCGGATTTCATCAAAAATATTTTCATTTGTGTTCCGAAGATGAACAAAGGTCTTACGGGTGTGAATGGAACGACATGAGGGTGAGAAATGAATGACAGGATTTTCATTTTTGGGTGAACTTTAATTTGCTCTGGGAATTACAACCTGAAATAAAATTGGGTAATAAATATTCCCGTTTCTACAGATGCTATGGATTGAAACGCCCACAAACCCTACTATGAAGGTCGTGGACATTCAGGGCTGTTCAGATATTGTCCATGAGCACAACAAGGACACAATTGTTGTTGTGGACAACACTTTCATGTCAGCCTACTTTCAGGTATAACTTACACATTTATTTTCTCAGCTGATGTTCTTTTAATGACTTAGAGTAGATAACTAGGGATATGAAAGACAATTTAAAAAGTGAGTTAACTGTTAAAAGTACATTTTATTAAGCATATGATAGCATATAATACTTGTTTAAAAAGAAATTCAGTGCAAGGCTTTCCATTAGACAGAAACTAGGTATTTATTTAATTATTTCACAATTGTTCTTATTACTGGAACAGCGCCCTCTTGCACTTGGAGCAGACATCTGCATGTACTCTGCAACAAAATACATGAATGGTAAAATCAAATAGAAAATAGATATAAACCTTTTATACAATTGTAAATTTGCTTTATCAAAGTTAAAATGATCTATATAATTCCAGGACACACTGATGTTGTCATGGGGTTGATTTCTCTCAACCGTGCGGACGTCTATGAACGCCTGAGGTTTTTTCAGAGTGGTAAGGCTCTACTTAAACTGTAACTTTTAAAGTATGATAACATCCTTATTTTGAGCAAACAGCTCTTCTCTTTATGACATGGCCTTGTGACTCAAGATCAAAATGGCTGTAGTGTATTAGTGTATTTCACAAGCAGTTTATATATTTAATAAGAGAAGTGTATTACCCTTTGAAATAAGGAACCAAAGACAGTTAAAGGGATAGTTCCCCCCAAAATGAAAATTCTGTCAGTAATTACTCACCCTCATGTTGTTCCAACCCCGTAAGACTTTTGTTCATCTTCGGAACAATATTTTTGATTAAAATCGTTAAAATAGTCCGAGTGACTACGGTACAGTGGCTCAATCTTAAGTTTATCAAGCGACGAGAATACTTTTTGTGCGCAAAAAACAAACAAAAATAACGACTTTATTCAACTATTCATTTCCTTCTCTGTGGGCCTCGAGATAGTTCACGTAGTGTAACTGCACAGCGCCACTGGTTGTACGTCACACGTAGGCTCACTATTGGCCAACGCTGATCATGTGTGTGATGCGTGTGAGCCAGCTCTCAGATTTAATCAAAAATATCTTAATTTGTGTTCCGAAGATGAACGAAAGTCTTACGGGGTTGGAACAACATGAGAGTGAGTAATTACTGACAGAATTTTCATTTTGGGGTGAACTATCCCTTTAAAGGTTCAGTTCAGTGTTATAATGTACATCAATATAGAGGAGATGTTGTGTTTTAATATGCTAGAGAGAGACACCGAGTGTAATCTTCAAATTTAATTTTACGAACAAGGAATTCTGCAAGAATTAAGTTTATTTATCTACCCTATTGGGGGTTTTTTGTAAGGGAAAAGACAAATGCCTTTCATTCACTTGAAAGGAAAGTTACTTGTCTTCAGGTGAAGGTAATAACCTGATTTAGTATCTTTTGTTATTACCTGTAGTCTCATTGCTAAGCAGTTATGTCAAATGTAATTTATTCAAATGTCCTTGGCACTCCCTCTTGATTTCGAAGTGCATAGCTCAGAGAAAGTGTCAGGAAAATCTTCCTTGTCTTATCCCTGAATGTATAATTTGAGCAAACTGTAATTTTATCAACTTCACCTCACACCTCCCAACTGTTACAGTCCTGATGTGATGATTAATGTTGTGCTTTATGTAAGGCACTTATAGGAATAAATTACCTTGCATATTCGTCCTTGACTGTAACACTGAAAATGAGCTTGAGTCATTTGCATAGCAGAAGTAGAAGTTTATTTTCATCTCTGTTCTCCTATCTTCAATTCAGAGCTTGGGGCCGTTCCCTCTCCATTTGACTGTTATATGTGCAACCGGGGTCTGAAGACACTGCACCTGAGAATGAAGCAGCACTTTAAGAACGGACTGGCAGCGGCACAGTTTCTAGAGGCCGACCCAAGAGTGGACAGAGTCATCTTCCCAGGTGTCTGTGTTATTATCCTCACATAACATAGAAGTGTGTGTTGGGTGAAAATGACATATGTTGGTGATTGCTCAAGTAACCCGTCTGAAAATAAGATTTCAAATGAATGCAATGGTAAATGTTTGGTTGAGTCGATAATAATACTGCATGAGTGTGATATTGTGAATTTATATACACTACCCACAAATTTTAGGGTTGATGTTTAATGTATATGAAAGAAGTCTCTTTTGATCACAAAGGCTGCATTTTTTTTAAAATCAAAAATAATGTAATTTAAAAAATATATATATTATTAAACATTATGATGATTTCAAATTTTAATATATTTTAAAAATTAATTTATTGCTGTGATGGCAGGGTTCACAGCCTTTTCTCCAGGCTTCAGTGTTACATGATACTTCAGAAATCATTCAAATATGCTGATTTAGTGCCCAATAAACATTTCTTATTATCACAGTTGAAAACAGTTTTGCTACTAAAATATTTTTATGGAAACTGTGATAATTTTTTTCCAAGATTCTATGAATAAAACATTTTTTGTATTTTTTGTAACAATGTAAAAGTCTTTACTCTCACTTTTAATTAGTTTAATGTGTCCTTAAAAATCTTACTGATCTCAAACTTTTGAATAGTATTGTAGGGACCTCATTGGCATTATACCTGTGGCCAACCTTGAACTTTATTGTTTAAATGAACTGATATTGAGGGATTCCAGTCAGATTTAATTGACTCTCTGTCATCTTATTCTACTCCAGGTCTTCCATCTCACCCTCAGCACGAGCTGACAAAGAGACAGTGCACAGGCTGTCCTGGGATGATCACTTTCTACATTAAAGGAAAACTGGAGCACGCCTCAACTTTCCTCAGCAATCTGAAGGTGCGTTTAAACTACATATTGTTTAAAAATCTTTCCATCCTACATTTTTAAAGAATCTATGTGGTATTTTACATTTCAGTTGTTTGCGCTTGCTGAAAGTCTTGGTGGTTATGAGAGTCTAGCAGAGCACCCGTAAGTACTGAGAACACTATCCAAATCCACTGACTGTTCTGAGGGAAGATTTGATTTAAATTCAGAGCATAATCACTTTATTTTTTATTTTTTTATGAAACAAGTATGCCTGGTTGTAATAAATGTTTAAGCCCTAAAAAAATTGCTCAAGTGGGCTTTTGGATTTTGGATGGCCACAAGGAGGCGCAAGCACTGTAATGTTGTACTTAAAGGAAATTGCAGAAACAACACTTTTGTTGTCTGAGCCTTTTGTGTCATTGTAGAACATTATTCAGCAAGAACTAATAGAACATTTTTTAGGCTATTATAGTCAGCCTTCAATATAAAAACAAAGTTAAGGTTAATTGCCAGGTGGCTTTTGAAACATCGTGGATTAATTATTCTTATGGCTGACAAGTAATTCACTAGAATGCAAGTGATAACGTCACTGAATTATCTAGTTACATCTTATTTGATATCGCACCTGCACCAATGTTACTATGATTTATACTGGAGAAAAAAAAACTTGTTTTGAGGGGACATTTCATTCACCTCCATTTCCCATAGTGCACTTTTCTTTTCCAGAGCGATTATGACTCATGCTTCAGTGCCTGAGAGTGAGAGGAAAGAGCTGGGAATCAGTGATACACTCATTCGTCTGTCGGTGGGCCTGGAGGATGAGGAAGATATTATTGCAGACCTAGACCAAGCCCTCGGTGCTGCAGTGAGTGTTTCACAACCCATTTGTGTACACATACTTATCTGACTATATATAATTATATACATATATTAATTAATAATAAAACAGTATCCACAAAAATGTTATGCAATAAAAATGACTATTATTGGAAGACTGGAGTAATGATGCTGAAAATTCACCTTTACCATCACAGTCCTAAATTACACAATTAAAATATATTAAATAGAAAGCAGTTAATTTAAATGGTAAAATCTCAAACTATTACAGTATTATTCATCAAATAAATGCAGCCTTGGTCAGCATAGGAGAATTCTTTCTAAAAATGTAAATGAAAAATGTATAAAAAATATAGTCTAAACAAACACTTTCAGTCTTACTGGTCCCAAATAGATATACAGATGGCCAGTGCATTATGTGTATATGATACTGATTAAAGGCATTATATGTAATCATGTGCATTTCTCTTTGTAGAGCTTCTTTTTCTGACCAAAGGTTCTTTAATGCGTTTAATGGTGCACCCTTATATAAATTGATTTTATTCCCTGAAATATGGCTTTTTTTTAAGCGTGTGTCAACACCGAGATCATTTCAGCCTATAAAGTTCAGTGAGCCATCTCTGAGAGCACAGGCCATTTCCCCTCTCTCTAAAGTGCACAGAAAAATAAGGTTCCGGGAAATAAAGACAAATCAGCTCAGGTCAGAGTCTGAGAATTATTCCCATAGAAACGTATATTTGTGAGGAGAAAGCCAGGAGTTTGTGAGCTGTGCGGTGGCTTTGCTCTGTGCAGTCTCTCGGGAAGTCTGTTCGGTCTGTTGGACGCAGTCTTTAAGCGTGATATCGCAGTGTTGCAGATGTGTGAGCGGATGCTTATTAGAGAGCAAAGGTGCAGCAGTATAGGTTGATCAGATTTGTACACAGGTACACCATGCACCCCATTATTGTGAAGGTATTTTCTTCTGTCAGAAATTCAATGCCAGCCCTGCAGTCCATATCTGATCCCTTTAGATGTGCTTTGCTGCACATCTTAAGAGAATGGAAATGAAATCATGACTTGTATCCAATTGATATCCAAAATCCCACTGAGCTTATACAAAAGGAGCTTTTGTGATTTGCGGTGTGTTTTGATTTGATGACTTGTTCTGAGGAGGTGAATGCCATTAGGTCCTGGCACACAGTTTTCCTCTGAGAGTTATAGATCTTCAGTCTCCTCCATTCTATCTGAAAACCGTAGGTTAATTATCTGCCATTTTGTGAGGTTAAAAAAAAGGACTAAATATGCTAATATATTGAACCACTGTCTGCGAGGAGCCTTAAATTGCTGTCTCTGTGACCAGGTGCTGTTTCAACCAGTTGGCAGAGACTGTGGGGCTCTCCGTATGATTGACTATTAGCATACAGTTAGGATTGACGGTATGGTTCCGTTCTGGGCGAGAACTCCCTGCGCATCCGTGCAGCCTAGCATGGATAAGAGCAGGGAGAGCAGCAATAACCCCCCATAAGGCAAACAGAACAAAACCAACATGAATGTATGCAGATATCATTAATTCAAGATTTTAAAGTACGACATAATTCGAGAATTTATTCTGATTCAAGGGGAATCAGAATGCCAAATCCTGACTGGCCGAGAGGAGGAGCTGGGGATGGAGGAGGGTAATGAGCTCCTGAGAAACACGATAGCTGTTGATAATACTGAAGGAGCTTATATATGTATACAGTGATAGGCGTCGTATTCCTATAAGTATATATATATATAAGTAGATAATATATATATATACTGATCAGCCACAACATTAAAACCACTGACAGGTAAAGTGAATAATATTCAGTTATATCAGTTATACCTTCCTGCAAAGTTCAGCTCCAACCCTGATCAAACACATCTGAACCAGCTAATTAAGATCTTCAGGAACACTTGATAATTACAATTTAGAGTTGCGTTGAATCTGGACTCTGCAATTAGTTAGATCTCCAGGAACTGGATTGGGCACCCCTGGATTATATCATTATTAGTCAGAAAGTGAACAGTCAGTTCTTGAATTTCATTTGTTGGAAGCAGGAAAAATGGGTAAGCAAAAAGATCTGAGTGACTTTGACAAGGGCCAAATAATGATGGCTATACAACTGGGTCAGAGCATTTCCAAAACGGCATGACTTTGGAGTGTTCCTGGTATACAGTGGTTAGTACCTACCAAAAGTGGTCCAAGGAAGCACAAACAGTGAACCGGCGTCAGGGTCAAGGGTGCCCAAGGCTCATTGATGCATGTGGGGAGTGAAGGTTAGCCCGTCTGGTCCGATCACACAGGAGAGCTACTGTAGCTCAATTTGCTGAAAAACGTAATTCTGCCCATAGGAAGTTATCAGGAAATACAGTCTATTGCAGTTTGTTGCATGGTCATGTGTAGCCGCCCCCAGTCAGAGTGCCCATGATGACCCCTGTCCACCACCAAAAGTGCCTACAATGGGCACATGAGCGTCAGATCTGGACCATGGAGCAATGAAAGATGGTTGCCTCTGATGAATCATCTTTTAGATCAGGTGGATGGCTGGGTGCATGTGTGTCGTTTACCTGGGAAAGAGGTGGCAGCAGGATGCACTATGGGAAGAAGACAGGCCGACAGAGGCAGTGCTGGGCATTCATGTGGTAAACGTATACCACCTACGTAAAGATTGTTGCAGACCAACAATTCCAATCCATGGAAGCCTCACCTTGCATGACTTAAAGGATCTGCTGTTTATTCAGAGGTCTTGTGGAGTCCATGCCTCGACGTATCAGAGTTGCTTTGCATAAGGGGGAACCTACAAGAGATTAGGCAGATGGTTTTAATGTTGTGCCTGATCAGTGCATATATGAGCCAAAACATTGACCAGTCACAGGTGAAGCGAATGTCGTTGATCATCTCCTAACAAAGACACACGTTAAGGTCTTGGTAGATTAGATGGTAAGCAAACAACGTGTTGGATGCAGGAGAAATGGGCAGGAGTTTGAGTGACTTTGACAAGGGCCAAATTGTTATGGCAAGGTGACTGGGTCAGAGTATCTCTGAAAGGCTTGTGGGTTGTTCCCGGTCAGCAGTGGTAAGAATTTTCCAACAGTCTTCCGAGGAGGGACAAACCACAAACAGGTTTTCACAAAAAGATTTCTATTTCAAATACATTCTGTTCTTTTGAACTTTCTATTCATCATCAACATTGATAATAATGATAGAAATGTTTTTCCTAAGCACCAAACCAGCATATTAGAATGATATCGGAAGGATCGTGTGACACTGAAGACTATAATATTTTAGATTTGCTATCACATGAATAAAATACATTTTTTAAAATATTAAAATAGATAAGTTGTTTGAACCTCTTAAGTGTCACCGGCCCACCGGTGGGCCCAAATCCATTACATTTTTAAAACAGTAATACTAAACCTAAACTAATTCTTGACAAACTCATTTGAAAGCTTACAATCTCTAGTTTACATATTTGGTGATTGATTTTCAAAATAAATTACAGAGGAGCCGTAATTGATCAATTTTCAACAAGAATGATTTCATACTCCTAAGGCGTGTTTAGACCTTTATTTTGAAAAAGTGATGAACATGAAAAATCATGAAAGAAGGGTAGAAACCTCAGTTTGTTTTCATGCCAAGAGTTCAAAAGATAGCATCCATTCAATTATTTTAGGAAAAAAGGTCTGAATTTTTTTTAAATATAAAGATAAAAATTATAGATTCACCTTTGTCATGTCGCAGCAAGCTATAACGCACATACTTGTTCTTTTTATGTGTTTCTTAGAGGTTAAATTCATATCAAAATCTGCCAAACTTCTCATATTACTTCTGAATAGGATGTCTACTTCATAAACTGTATGAAAATTGTGGAAATAATGGTTCATATCACTCAAAACACATATGGAAATGGAGGCGCCCTTATATGGGCAGTAATGAAGTCTGGTTGTCATCTATTGAAAAAGTTTGGTACTGCGCCCAAACAAAATCTTACTGAAAGCAAATTTTTTGAGATATCAACCTAAAATTTGAAACACAACTTGTTCAGATTTTTGGCTTTGATTTTTTTTGCTGTTTTAGAGTCGCCCAGGTTTTGAAAATATATATTTTATATAAAATATGAATAATTAAATTTTTTACATTGTACTTTTTCATAAACTCAAACTTCTATAACTTTTTTTCTGTTTCACTTTCTTAATTTCACTTCTACAAAAATCTGCCAAATGTCTTCTTTAAAACGAGTACAATCTTACGTCTATATTTCAAAGCATTCTTGAATTACAACCATTTAAGTTCGAAATGTGCATTTTCATGTATATTCAAAAAAAGGGGGGGTGACACTGGTTAAGTTCTGTCAATTATTTATAAAAGTAATTGTGTGCACATCCCACCTTCTGGCTGGTGCAGGACAAAAGGAACTTACTAAAGTGAAAAAAATATAATGTCCGCAACACTGCTTTAAACTTTTTGCCTGAAGAAGACCCAGCAGGGTCGAAACGTTGCCTTTATATTAAATATGGGAGTTTAAAGCAATGTTGCGGACATTACATTTTTCACAATATTAGCCTATTGTTTTTACTGTACTTTTGGTCAAATAAATGCAGCATTGCTGAGCATTAGAGTCTTCTTCAGAAACAAAAAACCTTACCAAACCAAAACTTTTAAATAGTAGTGTACATATATAAACCCTATGTATAAAACCATATACTATATTCAATTTCCTGTTAAAACCTAGATATTTTACTGTTCAATATTCAATAAATCTAATGTCATGCAAACTGTTTTTTTTTAAAACAGCATCCAAAAAAGTAAGAGACTGATCAAGATCAGTCAGGAACAGCCGTGATGCCACATGTGGACGAGACAAGGACACTTTTTTTTGCCACATTTATCAATTACTTTATGCTTGACAGTTATGCTTGAAAAACATTAATTGCCATCTTTTCATTCAAAGTACTGGAGATTTGCTGCTTTTGTCTTTCCACTTTTTGTAATTATAGTTTGATGAGGTAGTGGGGCTAAACAAAACAGAAACCCTCTGAGTTTTCAAGTAATGTACAAGCACACAATCAGTCTTTATTTTCTGCTTCAAAGATGCAAAGCCACCTCATAATGTCTTTCATTGATCAGTTTAGTATTTTAAATACTAGATATTGACTAGATGCCTAAGTGTTTTTAATCCTAAAGGGATCACATCCGATCTTTGTCTGTGCTGCCAGACCCATTAAAAGCCATTTGTAGTCTCTCCCTGTCTGTTTTGTCTTGTTCCTGAACGTCTTTGATGGTTATACACCATAAGCAATCACTTTGAAGTCAACAAGCTCCACACATGTAATTGGAAGATAAATATTAAAAGACATATCTAATGAGCCGATCTAACAAATACATCAATAATGCTGCAAGGACAGCTTGAACTGAGAAGTAATTATTTCTCTGCAGTATTTATCAGGCTTAAATTTATTTCTACGATGGGGATGACGTGATGCTTACATTACTAGTCCTGACAAGGCTAATTTGTTGTCTCTTAATTTTCTGAGCAATGCAAGATTTTTTTTTTTGGGGTGCTGAAAGAAACTGAATAATGAAGAAAATATATTATGTGAAAAATATGTAATCAGGATGTCAATTTAGCTATTTATATGCCCAATTTTACTGATAAATGACTTTCAGTGGGAGTCAGTTAATGCATAAAACTGTCAGAAAGTATTAAATGCCTTTTTGTTTGTTTGTTTTGTTCAATGCCTGTTTTCCACCATCTCGCCACAAGGCCAACACTATATCAAATAAAAAAAGCACCTCAATTATGTTATTTACTGACTCAAAGGTCCATTTAGCAAAATGTACACACAGGAAGCACAACACCATTAACTCCGAGTCATAAACTCTACATATTACTGTCCATTTAAGCTAGACAGCGCTTGCAAAATGTCATCCCTAATCTCTTCAAGGGTCAGGACTCAGAGGTGTAAACTTCATTCTATAATGTTTTTTTTAATAAGTAGCCTACTGTTTAATGTTCATACTGTTTAATATTTAATGCTCGTAGAGTTTGGGAGCAGTATGTGTACGTGTTACAGGCTAGTAATAGAATAAATTGTAACATGAGCAAAGCTGAAGTTGCACCTCTTGTGTGACCTAATGTTTTTTCCTTCATCAAGATTCATGTTTGATCTCGCCAGGCTCCTTTCATGCTCTGCTTTACAATTTTCACATAGCCAAAAGAGAAGATATTGATTTGCACACACAAGCCTATTTCAAAGATGATGGATGATTGACATTTCCATTAACATAAAATGCTAAATATTGGTTGCACGACCAACTTTTAAACTATTTTGCAACTACTTTGCAACATATTCACAGTAGGTTTGTGGCGACAGCGAATCATCCTAATTCTTCTCCTGACCTAAGATTATATAATTAGCTATTCCCACAGTTTCATATATGTAATTTCAGAACTATGACTAACAAGTGAGTGAACTGTTTAAGCAGACAACATCATATGTTAGTCTAAATGGACCAGTGTTAGCTGCTACTTTTAGCCACTATGCTAGTAACAATCGTTTGTGGTCATAAATTTATTATAAAGATCATAAAAATTAAATTTTGTTTGTATTTAGTACAGTCCTGAACAGATGTTTACATATAGTCCAGTCCACAAGACAAAATAATATCTGATTTTACACAAATGAACCAGTTCAAAAGTTTACATACGCTTCATTCTTAATACTATATATTTGTTTTAGTCCATTGTAAACTGCCTACAGTCTTTAAGTCAGCATGAAATAGAAATTCACCCTATTTTCATCTATTTTCTAAATGCATCTTATTGATTTTGTGAACCATTCATCCATCATCCATATGTAAAATTTTTGACCTGGTAATTTTTAATCAAAATGTCATAACTCAGTCTTCCCCTTTCTTACAATTAACCATAAGCTCGCATTCAGATCTGCCTTCATCCAATTGATCTGATTCTGATCGAAAAAAGTCCCCACCCTGCATTTTTTATTTTTCACAATATAGATGAATAGATCGGTTCTGCAAATTATTTGAGAACATATGACCACAATTTTACATGCTGTGCCACTGGCTGGTAAACATTCAAATGCTTTATACTGTATATGCAATGTACCTGTATAATAAGTTGAATCTGAAATTTTATTTACACATTATACCATCACAGAGCCAAAAACCTGATTAAAAGCTTACCTTTGAGCAATTTGATAAAATGAAGGCTTTACTTTATATGAGTCATGCTATTACTGGACAGACTAAATGTTGTGATAATGAATAGCCATTTCATCCCTAGAGAATTATTGTGCCAGTTTTATATTTTGATTTACAACGTTCCTTTCAATAGTTTTCATTTTTCACTTAATTGGGCAATAACAACCTCTTCCCATTGTATAGGCGCAGGTACAAAATAATGAAAAGTGACTTTGGCCAGTATTATGCATCACATTAAAATGTTAGGTGTAATTACTGGATGATGACACATTTGGTTCCTCAGAGTGTCTTTGTGAAGATGTGCCAGTTCATATGCAGCTCTGGCCATGTAAGGTCATTCAGATAGATCAAGTGGAAAATTACTCTGTTAAACTTTGAGCCATCCATTTGGCCGTTTGCTTTAGAGATTAGACATCCTCAAAAAGTTTAAATGACCAAAGATTGTATGATTTGTTAATGCTTGTATTAGGTAGGTTCATGTTTGTTGTTGCGTATTTTCACACACTGTACGAGTAATTATTCTCTTTCCCTTGATCCTATCTTTGTAATCTATTACCCATTGCAGCTTTGTTCATTCTAACCACCTCTTAAAGAACTGTTTTTATCTTGGACTTTACCTAAAGCCATTTGTAACGTAAAAGAAATCATACAATCCTAATATTTTCTCCTTTAATCAAACTTTTTGTGCTCTAATCATAATAGTGTTCAAGAGCATGTCTGACAAATCATGCTAAACTACATTTCCAATGGACAAAACAGAAACAGCTCAGAGCTTCACAATCAATAAAGTCCAGTTGTGTACATGGAGCCTCTCATCCTCAGTTTAATGTGCTGTGACTGTACATAATAGACTTTCATGGATCAATCTTTCAGAAAGACAATCAAGGTAATTGATTTGGTTTTTTTGGTTGTTATCTTTGCTGATTGGAAATTATTCCCACTGCTGCTCGTTCTTCTAAATATGAGGGATGCAAACTGGGTTATTTCTACTTAATTAAATCTGATGTCTTACGAAACCATACAGAGTAACCATGGAAATTTTAACCATGGAAACCTTTTTTATTTCTTGCAATGAAGAGACAGGAAGTGTAACCTTGAAGTGTAACTCTGGCAGTGTAACCTTTCTTTTTAATTTCTCAATTATGTCTGTTAAAATAAAATAATTTTGGCACTCCAGGTTCAGCTCTGTAATGAGTGAAATCGGTCGCACGCATCACAGGGTACAGAAGTATCTTCTGAGTCAGAGACAGGAGGTTCATCAAGGTAACATTCAGTTCTGACAGGGACAAGATTCACCCCTACAGTGTTTTACTCTGACGCACACTAGAATGAAGATTACTTGTTATTCAGTGGAACACAATGCTGAATTACTTTATTTTCCTGGACGGTACTGTCAAATGCGTCATTGCACAGAGATGGACACTTTCCTGTACACCAAAAGCTGAACTTTGTCATAGTGTAATAACACTCAGGCTTTGAGTTTCAGGCATGAAACGGATGCATTTTGTTATTTTCTTCCTTTCTGGGATGCATTATACTCTAAGAAGCAAAAACAAGACATTTTCTTCTGTATTAAAGTATTGTTACAGAATTATTAATAACAAAAATATGCATCACATTTCTACATGACAGACAAAGTCTTACAATAATTATTATGGCAATATACACTCACCTAAAGGATTATTAGGAACACCATGCTAAAACTGAGTTTGACCCCCTTTCGCCTTCAGAACTGCCTTAATTCTACGTGGCATTGATTCAACAAGGTGCTGAAAGCATTCTTTAGAAATGTTGGCCCATATTGATAGGATAGCATCTTGCAGTTGATGGAGATTTGTGGGATGCACATCCAGGGCACGAAGCTCCCGTTCCACCACATCCCAAAGATGCTCTATTGGGTTGAGATCTGGTGACTGTGGGGGCCATTTTATTACAGTGAACTCATTGTCATGTTCAAGAAACAAATTTGAAATGATTCGAGCTTTGTGACATGGTGCATTATCCTGCTGGAAGTAGCCATCAGAGGATGGGTACATGGTGGCCATAAAGAGATGGACATGGTCAGAAACAATGCTCAGGTAGGCCGTGGCATTTAAACGATGCCCAATTGGCACTAAGGGGCCTAAAGTGTGCCAAGAAAACATCCCCCACAACATTACACCACCACCACCAGCCTGCACAGTGGTAACAAGGCATGATGGTTCCATGTTCTCATTCTGTTTACGCCAAATTCTTTTCGCCCACAGGACTGCCGCATACTGGATGTTTATCCCTTTTCACACCATTCTTTGTAAACCCTAGAAATGGTTGTGTGTGAAAATAAATTGAAGTGTTTCTATTACAGTTTTTCACAAATGCTAAGACACAATTTTTGAAACCTTCACCCATTTTCTCACAACATTAAACACAAATCCAAATTTTCAAACTAAACTCACAAAACCATCGACTCTTCTGGCAAAGTCAAACAATTGCTTTAAAACCATTTCACCTGTAAAACAATGCTTTCAGATCATACACAAGTCAATAAAACAAGCACTACAGAACATTAATTAGACACTACTTAAACATTTTTAGAACACAGCATCCAGAACGTTACAACATTTTTTTTTATAAAAAAAGTATAGTAATTGCATCTGAGTACGGTGATTATATTGTATACTGTATGCACTGCAAGTATAGTATTGTACTGTTATAGTAGGCTACTGAATGTCTGTATATTCAGCACTTGCATACTTTAAAAATACTACCGTCCAACTGCAAAAGCCAAAAAGTTCAAATAAAACTCTAAATGAACAGCATGTTATGGTACACTCAAATATGTAAGTTGTGCAACTGCAAAATAAAGGTCAATGAGAGATTCCTTCTGCTTCAACATGATGTCTTCCTGCTGGCTCTGGCCTGAGGACTTTGTCCATATCACAGGCAATGTTGTCTCTTGCCAGACAAAGGGAAAAACCTTCCAATCTTACACATCCAGCACAGTGACAACACTGTCCTTGCTTGTCCTCATCCTCTTCC